ACTGATTACCTGTATTCCAACTTCTTCAACTTTAGGAGAGAAGAATTCCCATTTCCTTGAGAGAGCAGGGCTGGAGGAAGCCCTCCTTCCCAGTGGCAAAGTAGGACCATTTGGAATTCCAGCTGTTCATCCAGAGGACCCAAGACCCCCCCCCCCAATTGTGGTTCCCAGTTCCTGTCCAACATTCCCAGAGCAAGAAGATCCCAAGCAGAAGCCTTCACAGCCTCTCGCTGCTGCTGCTGCTGCTCCTCCAAACGGATCTCTGGCTGTTTTCTGATGGTTGACAGAGGTTAGTTGAGCCTTTTCTCCCCCCCCTCCAGCAAATGGTCCCTCCTTCTTCCCAGCCCCCCCCCAATGCGCACCCAAAGCAACAGCAGTGGCCTTTTGTCCCTCACACTTTCCCCGGCTCTTCTCCCCTTTCCCCTCAATTCCAGCCCCCCCTCCAATCACAGCACCCGGGGAACTCCAGGCCCCGCATTGTCTGGGTCCGCCCAGCATATCCAAGCCGGGCCCCGAATGAAAAGGCGCCGGCGCTGGGTTTGCAGGGAGGGTGGTAGGTCTGGCAGAGGGGGGGCTCTTCTCCCCCCCCGGAGGGGGCAGCCAGACAGGCAGCCCCCCCCAGCCAGGGATGCCCCCTTCGGAGCCTGGGGGCGGCCGGGAGGGGCCACCCATTTCCTCCTTGCATCCCCCTCCCCCCCATGCTGCATCCCCGACGTGGGGGGGGGGGGCGGGAGGACGCACCTGGCCCTCCCCGAGGCGGGGAAGGGTCTCCCTCCCTCCCTCCCTCCCTCCGAGGGGCGCCTCCCTTTCCCCGCCAGCCCCCCCCGCCCGCTGGCAGCGCTCCGGGGGAGGGCACCGTGGGGAAGGGTCTCCCCCGGGGACCCCCGCCTCCTCCTCCTCCTCCCCCTCATTGTTCCTCCGCCGGGCCGAGGCGGCGGCAGGCAGGCAGGCGAGGCGAGGCAACTCACCGGGTCGGGGGCGGCGGGGCCGGGCCAGGCCGGGCTCTCGGGGCGGGGCGGACGAGGACCCGAAGCGGCGGCGGCGAGGGCGGAGGAGGCGGCGCCATGTTCCTCCCTCCCTCCTCGCTCGCTCGCTCGCTCGCCCGCCCTTCCTGCCTTCCTTCACCCGGCCGCCGCGAGGGACGAAGGGGGAGGCCGGGCGGCGGGCGGGGGGCGGCGGCGGCGGGAGAGGCCGAGGAGGCGCCTTCGCCTCACGCTGAGGGGCGGCGGCGGCGGCGGCGGCGGCGAAACCATCGACTGAGGGAGAAGCGACGGGGCGCGGGGCCGCGTGCGTCTCAGAGGGGCCGCGCGCGCCGACACTAGCGCGCACGCGCGCCCAAGCAGGCCGATCCTTGGCGCAGGAACCGCGGCTCGCGCCGCCGGCAGACCCTGAGAGGGAGAGCGAGCGAGCGCGGGGGGCGGGGCCGACGCTACGGCCCGAGGAGGAGAGAATGCGGGCGCGCCCCCCCCCGGAACGGAGCGCCGAGGGAGAGAACGCGCCTGCGCCGAGATGGCCCCGCCTTTCTCGGCCCGCGCCGGGCGGGGGCGCGCACGCACGCACGCACGCGGGGGAGGGGGGGAGGGAGGGAGGGGGAGAGGGAAAGAAGGGCGCGCGCGGGGCGGAGGGGCGAAGTCGGAGTCTGGAACGCGGCGGCAGCGGCGCGCTCACGCACGCGCACGCGCACGCGGAGGCTCGTTCTCTGCTGGGGAAGGGGGTGTTCCGCGGGGGGTGGGACCCCCCCGGCCGAGCCCACCGCCCAACCCCCGGAGAGGGCCTGGTGGGTTCTTCCGGGCCCCTCCCGGGAGGTGGGGGGAAGAAAAAGGGGTCTGGCCGCGGCGCCCCCAGACTCTCCTCGCCGCCGCCGCCGGGTTTTGTTCCGGGGGCGCCTCGCCGACCCCGGGGCTGCTTTCATCCCGGTTGATGCCTTTGGTGGGCAGCCCGTCTCTGCCTTGGGACCCCTGAGCGAAGCCCCGCCTCTGCGGGGGGCTCCGATGCTAGGGACGGGCAAGGACTGCGGGGTCCCTGGGGGACTCGGAGCCGGGTGGTTTCCTTGCAGACGTTTCATGACCCAACTAGGGAACGTCATCAGTGCTGTAAGGGAGGGGGGGGTTCCTCTCTTTGTATACTAGCAGCTTGTCTTATAAATGTGGGTGGGGTATTATTTTTTCTTGGTACTTAAACAGAGCAACCCCCCTCCCTTCCAACACTGATGATGTTACCTAGTTCGGTTATGAAACGTCTGCAAGAAAACCATTAAGCTCAAACAGCACCAAGGACCCCCACAGTCGTCTTCCTCCTCTCCACAAACCCCTCTCCCTTCTAGCACTGATGATGTTACCTAGTTGGGTCATGAAACCTCTGCAAGAAAACCACTTAGCTCAGAGAGCACCAAGGTCCCCACAGTTGATGTTGTTCTCCTCCTCCTCCTCCTCCATTTTCCAAGGTGCCAGCTTGGCTCTATTTCTGGGCAAATAGGCACTCTCCTAAATAAAAACCTGGGCTGCACCCACGCCGACACCATTTTTATTTTCTCTAAATTTCTCTAAGTTTCAATGAGGCCCAAAGGCAATTTTCTGAATTAAGCTAATGGTGGAAACTGCTGCTTTGCTCTGCTGTGAACCAGCCTCTTGTCTCATATTTGTTAATTAAAAGAACCTTTGCAGAAACATTACCACCATTATCTTAATTTATAAATGTCGGACAGAACAAGGAACCCATCATACACAAATAGGCTGCATGATTTGTCCGTGCCCGATTTAGGCTGGAAATCTACGTGCAATATTTGGGAGTGCCACCAAAAGCAGACAGCTGGTTTATATGTTATGCTAAACTGTGGCTTGCTTAAATCAGAATTGATTAAATAATAACAGCAGAGTTCATCCAGCACGTTAAACCACAACCAATTTCACTTAGTATTTATTATCTGTGCTAGATCAGAGGTGTCCAAACTTGGCAACTTTTTTAAGACTTGTGGATTTCAAATACTAATCGCTTAGGAGCTAATTAAGGACCACTCAACCCAGATATGAAGATAACCTGGGGAGGTCCTGTTTGGGGTTCCACAGGGAATTAAGCTGAAAGAGCAGTTATGAGGATAATTCTTGGTGCAGATGTTGACTCACAACCACAACTGAGCCCATTTTTTTTTGTTGCCAAGCAAGACAGTGGTTAAGTGAGATTCACTTAACAATTGTGTTACTTAACAAGTGTGGCACGAAAGGCCATAAAATGGGGCAAAATTCACTTAGCAATTGTCCTGCTTAGCAATGGAAAATTTGGGCTCACAATACATGTCCCAGGATAATGTTGCACGATCCAATCCGGATCGGTCACCTGGACCAGAGGTTTACTTTTCCAAGCTTTGGGATTCGTGCTGGAGCCCATGTTCAGGGAACTTCCCTCTACTAGAATATGTTAATAAACCCATAATTAACCCATATTCCAATAGAGAGAAGTTCCCTGAACATGGGCTCCAGCACGGGTCCGAAAGCTCGGAAAAATAAACCTCTGGTCCTGGTGCCTAACCCAGATTGGATCTTGAAGTTTGGGCACAATTGTGGAATTGATGACTACCAGTACTTGGAAAAAAATGGGTGGGGGAGCAAAGGGAAGACCCACAGACATGTTTTCCACAGCAGGAGAAAAGCAACCAAAAAGTGAAGATCTTGCTGAGATCAATTACTTTTCAGCCAAAGTCCGTGGTTTTGGGGGTGATCTTTTGGGATTTAAATCAAGATTTCTTATTCTGACTCACAGACCGCAAGATTGGAAACCTGCGTTGTCACAAACCTGAGCTTTGCCCAGGAATCTTTAAAATAAACAAACAAAACAAATACAGTTCTCCCTGTGGGCATTCTAGAGAGGGCAAGTGACATTCCAGATGGCACGATACAGTGGCTGGCCCTCTGAAAGACATGGACTTCGGCTCTAAAATGGGATTTTTAACACACCTGGGCAACACCACGTCAGAGAAAAACGCTGTAGATTCGGTGAAGAACAGCACAACTGTTCACAGCAGTCTTTTCCATCCTCTGCTTCTTGATCTTTTTAATGGCAGGTGATGTGGACTTTGTGTTCTACCATGTGGTCTCTTCCAAACCCATTTCATAAGAGGGCTGGAAATCTCCCAGAATTCCCCAGGTGATGCCAAGAATGACAATCTTGGCAAAGTGGCTTTTGAAATTATGATGCCCGCTCTCATCTATCTAGCTTGCTACTTAGGACTGTAGCCTGTACCACAAAGTTCCAGGAAGTTGCACTGCATGTTTCTCAGAATGATTAATTCAGGTAGTCCTTGGCTTAGGATGCAAAACTGGCCTACCTTTGCAGCTTGAATCCCTGGTGAACCAAATTTTCCTTCTTTAGGTTGACAAAGAAACACCCTTTGGGGCAGGAGATGCTCTACAACCATCTGCCCTCCATTATTTGAGATTATTATTATTTTGTTCCTATGAAAAGTTGAAGTTCTCAAGGATGACTACAGTATTTCCAAGCATGTCTCCTATTCCCTCTAGACCGCAGCACCCTCTTGCGTTAGGGCGCAGAAACCTTGGGCCTACAAGGCCCGGCTGAGCCTGGGATTAAAGTTCAGCCCAGGCAGCGTCTGAGGCGTCACTCGCTCAGCTTCCTTCTGCCACACGACTCCCCGGCTTCGTGCGAACATCACGGAACACGGGCTCCCCCTACTGGAAGCAACCGGCACACTTATTTTCTCCCAACCCAAAGAAATTACAGCTCCCGGCATGCAGCGCAGCCGTCGCGTGGCCCGCCCGGCCTGGAAAACAATCCTATAGGCTCCTTGCTGGCGCGAGGCCTGACCCGCAGCGCTTCATTCCTCTTCCGGTTCCTTCCTGCATTTAGACTACAACTCCCGACGGGCTGAGCGCTTGGCAGCCGCCCTATCGAGTATCCGGTAGGAAGGCAGAATAGAGTCGGGGGGCTGAAGCAGCTTGCCGGGGGCTCTGCGGGCAGCAGCAGGAGGAGGAGGAGGGGGACTCGGGAGCCGTCATGGTAAGGAGGGGCGAGGGTCTCTTTAAGGAGGCGGGGGGGGGGTCACTGGAGCAGCGAGGCTGCCAGGCGGGGGAGAAACGGGGGGGGGGTTGCTTGGTGTCGTGATAAATCCTAATAATGCCATTATTTTGGTCGGGGGGGCGAGTAGGGGGTCCTAGCGTGGTCCTAAGTCCCCTCCCAGACCAGGCCATATTCCTAAGGGCCACCCAACCCTAGCTGCCCCAATCTCCCCCCTTCTCTGCCCTTCCCCCCCCTTCCCAGCAGCCAAAATATTAAACATTATTCCCGTTTATCACAAAATCTGTGAAACGGCAGAGACTCTGAGAAGGATCCCCCGCGGCAAATGAGGTCCAGAAGGGGGGCAGGGGCAAAAAAAAACCCAGTTCTGGATCTGTACAACAGCCCTGGAAGGTAGGCTAACCGTATTTTGCTAGGGATATTGCCCCACACACACACACACAGCTCCTATCATCCCCAGCCAGCATGATGAAAAAGAGAGGCACTAAAATCCAACCTACAGGGAGTCCTCGGCTTACGACCACAATTCAGCCCAAATTTCTGTTGTTAAGCAAGACAGGGGTTCAGTGGTTTTGCTTGCCACGGCTCTTAACTAAATCTCTGCAGTTGTTAAATTAGTAACATGGCTGTTAAGTGAATCTAGCTTCCCCATTGTTTTTGCTGGTCAGAAGATCGCAAAAGGGGATCACACAATCCCGGGACACTGCAACCGCCATAAGTATGAGTCAGTTGCCAAGTGTCTGAATTTTGATCATGTGACCATAGGGATGCTGCAACGGTCGTAAGTGTGAAAATCGTTCATAAGTCACTTTTTTAGGGCTGCTGTAACTTTGAATGGTCACTAAATGGATAGTAAGTCAAGGATTATCTGTCTTGTGAAAATTCCCTTGAGGTGACATCTGACTTTTTTTTTTTTAATTTGGCAAACAGGCCACATTGCTGTTCTACTCTCTTGTGCTGCGGAGATTGCCTGATTAACCAGGACATAAAACTGCTTGTCTTATTCCTGGAATCAGAAGAAAACGTGTCTTGTTTGGTGCTGGAAGAGATCAAAAGCCTTTGCTATTTGTGCTGGGCTGGCTTTCTTGATCAGGGTGGGTCACTTCCCTATCTTAGCTCCACAGTTGGAAAGTGGAACTAAGCAAAAATGGGGTCAGACTAGCAAGGTTTTTGCAGTCCTTTGGAAAAATGCCCCATTCTCCAGTGTGCAATTCGTGCAGCCAAAGATGCCAAGAGGAAGCAGGCAGTAATTAGGTCTGCTAAATGGAGACCAAAGAGGAAACAAACTTTTGTAGCAGCTCCTGGTTGTAGCTGGAGGATCCCAGCACTCACAGGAGTTCTGCGCTGCAAGTGGGAGCTTCTCGCTGCTTGTAGCTGAATGCTGTTTGGATTCTGGATTACAGGCAGCCTGTTTGTGGATCCTCTTTTACAGATTCGCTTTATCCTGATTCAGAACCGGGCTGGCAAAACCCGCCTGGCCAAGTGGTACATGCAGTTTGATGATGACGAGAAGCAAAAGCTGATCGAGGAGGTGCATGCGGTGGTCACCGTCCGAGATGCGAAGCACACTAATTTTGTGGAGGTAGTACTTTTGTGGCCTTATTTATTTATTAGATTTTTTATCCTGCCTTTATTGTTTTTACAAATAACTCAAATGCGGCGAATATACATAATAATCCTTCCTCCTCCTGTTCTCCCCATAACAACAACCCTGGGAGGTGGGCTGGGCTGTGAGGGAATGACTGGCCCAAAGTCACCCAGCTGGCTTTCATGCCTAAGGCAGAACTAGAACTCCCTTAAGAAGAGATTAAACAGTCACTTTTCTGAAATGGTATAGGTTCTCCTGCTTGAGCAGGGGGCTGGACTAGAAGACCTCCAAGGTCCCTTCCAACTCTATTCACTATTCACCATCTCCTTCTGATTGGCCCAAAGTCCCCCAGCTGGCTTTCATGCTTAAGAAGGAACTAGAACTCACCATCTCCTGGTGATTGACCCAAAGTCACCCAGCTGGCAGGACTAGAACTCACAACCTCCTGGATTCTAGGCCAGCACCTTAACCATTAGACCAAACTGATGGCCTCAAGGCATCTCCCTCTCAAACCAGGGCAGTTCTACTCTCTGTGGTGTGACCTACAAGGGAAGTGTTGAAAGACCAACACAAATGACAGAAGGATAAGCATCTTTTAAGGCTGGTGAAACCCATCTTTACTGGGAGCCATTTGACCAAACGGTTGATTTGCATAAAGCAGGTTTGTTCGTGTTGAGAAGAGGATCGTGGTCTGGTGGTAGAACCAGCAGATAAGCCCAGTCTTCCCCATCCCCCTTGACCGGCATTGTCCTGCTTCTAACAGACACCCGTGTTTGTGTTCCCTGCCCTGATGGCGGTTTGGCTTCTTTTCCCCCAGTTCCGCAACTTCAAGATCATCTACCGGCGTTACGCTGGGCTCTATTTCTGCATCTGCGTGGACGTGAACGACAACAACTTAGCTTACCTCGAGGCCATTCACAACTTTGTGGAGGTGAGTGTGGGCCTGTCCAGCTGCAAAGCAGGCCTGTCTCCCTCACAGGCCAGTGAACATCTGTCTTTGCGCAGCGGTTCTGGAAGTTCTACCGTTCCAGATAAGTGGATACAAGAGTAATGCAGTTAGTCCTCGACTTGCAAATGTTTAGTGACTTTTCCAAGTTACAATGACACCGAGAAAGGTGACTTACGACTGTTTTTCCTATTTAATGACCATTGCAGCATCCCTGTGGTCACCTGATTTATATTCGGATGCTTGGCAATTGACTCACATTTACAACAGCTGCAGGGTGATCCCCTTTTGCGGCCTTCTGGCAATCCAAGTCCCTTCACAACCGAGTTACTCATTTATCATCCGCAGCGATTCGCTTAACAACTTGTGGCGAGAAAGGCCGTACAAGGGGGCAAAACTCACTTAACGCAGGTCTTAGTTAGCAATGGAAAAGTTGGGCTCAGTTGTGGTCGTAAGTCGAGGACCGCCTTTGTCTCTGCAACGACGACCTGACAGGAGAGTAGTGGTCTGGTGTAGCAATACAACTAATGTGCCAGCTTCTCACTCCTTGTTGCCCCTCTTCTGAGGCCGAGGCTCTGCCGAGGTTTTTCCACGGCTCGTGAGCCAAGCCTGTTTCTGCTCCCCGCCTTCTTGCTGCCTTTCAGCATTTGCACAAAAGGCTAGTTCAGGGGTAGGCAACCTTGGCTCTTTTATGACTCGTGGACTTCAACTCCCAGAATTCCTGAGCCAGCATGGCTCAGCTTGGAAACCTCTCCCTTTCCCCTCAGCATAGCTGGCTCAGGAATTCTGGGAGTTGAAGTCCACCAGTCATAAAAGAGCCAAGGTTGCCTACCCCTGCAACTAGTTGATAAAACGGGGCTGATGTGTACCTGACAACCTCTCGCGGGAACAGCCCCTGTTCTGCAGCAAGGTGTCCTCGCCCCCGGGGTTGCACCCCACTTCTCGCCCACCTCGTGCGCAGGGCTGAAGCTCCATGTTCAACCAGCTTTTTTCTCCCTCTCCCCTCAGGTTCTGAACGAGTATTTTCACAACGTCTGCGAGCTTGACCTGGTCTTCAACTTCTACAAGGTGAGACTTCGTTACTTGTTTTAAGAAGAGGCTGGGCAGCCGTTTATCTGAAATGGCTTCTTTAGCCCACAGGATCCGAAATAGACCGGTGATTTATCCAATATATCTGCCGCTCATCTTCGAGCGAGTGGGACAGACTTGGGCTAGGCTGCTCCGAGGCCGGCAGCCACCCTCGGTGGTCTCTCCTGCGTAGGACCCTTTCTCCCCCCCCATTTTATCAGCCCCCTCTGCTCCTTTGCAGGTCTACACGGTGGTGGACGAGATGTTCCTCGCTGGAGAAATTCGGGAAACCAGTCAGACGAAGGTGCTGAAGCAGCTCCTGATGCTGCAGTCGTTGGAATGATCTGCGGGGGGGTGGGGGGCTTGTCCACGGCCTCGTTGGGGGTCCTTCTCTTCAGGCCCTGCCGCTTCCTGCCAGCCCCACCTCTCTTCCTCTCCGGCGCCCCAAATCAGAGACTTGCTCACCCCATAACCCAGAGCTGAAGGCTGGCAGGGAATAAGCGTTTTTGGGGAAGGGATCTCCATTGGGGTATCTCCTCTGTTGCTCCCCCCTGCCTGGAAAGTGGGGTCCATGTGGCAGGATAGGCTCGCTTCTTTGCTCAAAAGGGGGGGAGGTTGAAGAGGAGAGAGCTCCTTCTCCCACCCACCCACTCCCCCCCCTTGCCATTTGATATGCCACTGCTCTCCACTCTCCCTGTTGTTGGTCTGCTGCCCCCTCCCCATCTGGCCATCCACGTCAACGTCTTGTGCTGCTGCATCTGCAGAAGAGGGACCACGTCTCTTGTGTGTGTGTGTGTGTTTGAGTACGTGTGTGTGAGTACAGGCACCTGTAATAAGTGGATTCGAGCAATTCAACTGCCAGTAAAGTGATGTCTTGAAATAAACCATCCATCCAACACTGCAAAGAGAGGAAGTTTCTCATTTAAATCCTGGCCTGTTTCTGGAGGGACAGTGCAGCGCTGCTTCCCCAGCCCGTGTTCACTTCGTTTAATCTAACAAATCCAATTAATTGTGTTTTGTTTTGGTGTTTTGTATGTGCCAGACCAAGAACTGCTAGGGCCAGCTAGGCAAAAGGGAGCACTGAGTTGTCCATTAGCAAAGTTTATGAACCCATTCCGTAATATTTGATAGTTCGTCACTCCGTGCAGGCCTGTCTCCCCTTATTGAACCCTATAAACCAGATTTTCTTGTGCTCTCCATGTTAAATAGTCCGACGCAGAGTTGCTCAACCTAAATTAAATTTAATAACGAAATAAACGAACAAAACGTCAGGAACGTTTAAGCTAGTTCACCTCCCAGAATTCTCCCGACAGCATGTTTTAGGATGGGTGGACTTCAACTCCCAGAATCCTCCAGCCAGCATGAAACAGGCTGACTGAGGAATTCTGGGAGTTGAAGGACCGAAGATGCTTCTTGGATGAGAAGCGAAACATCTTCATGGAAAAAGAAAAGTCCAGTTGAAAAAGCACTTTTGGGACACAAGCCTTAAAAGTTGACAAGGCTGGGCACTGCTGCTCTAAGATCCCAGAGGTCCATCTGGTTCCCTTGCTTAGGCTTCAGTAAAAATATTCAATTTATTCACCGCCCATCTCATTCTCATGCGACCTGGGCAGCTTACACTCTTACAAAACAACATTATAAAAGATGAAAATAATATATTTAAAAAACAAAACAAAAGGAAAATAGATGGGCCAAACCCTGATCAGTAAACCGGGGTTACATGGGTCATGGAGACAGACTTCAAGCTCTTTGACTTTCTCCTGGCAAGACTGTGGCCTTTTCCCCACAGTCAATAAATAACATTTATTTGAAATTCCCAAGTAAAATCCACCTCTCTCTTGATAGCAGATGCCTGGTGGGCCACGCGAGGAGGAACCTGCTATTGTGAGCCCTAGTCCAGACAGGCGTGTGGCGTCTTCGCGTGCACACCCAGCAATTGTTAAGTCTCTTCGAGGTCGGAACGACCCTGCTGTGCATCTATCAAAGATATTTTGGATCAGCAGGAACATTAGGCTGTAAAATGCCTCCGGGAGGGCAAATTGCCTCCCTGTTCGCCTTCCGCGTTACCTCTGCAGTAGTAAGAAGGGTGGCCAACCCTAAGATGTTCTCTGGCGATTGGCCAGCTCTGTCCTTGCACCCGGTGACCAACCGCCTTAGCAAGTTTGGCCAGGTTGAGGATCGGTGGCCACCAGGGGGCGCTTTTTTAGTCCTCTGCCCATCACTGGGACTTCCTGCAGCCTGGTTCTCACAACCCACCCAATGGCCACGATTTGAACAAGCCAAGATTGTCTGGGTTTTAAGTTCGGGGCCATTTGCTCTTGATTTAGTGCCTTGTTCTATTTTATTGATTTGATTTTTATCCTGCCGTTGTTAACTTTATGAGCAGTAATTTTACGAGTAACACAAGGCAGCATAACGTTCTTTCCTCCTCCTGTTCAACAGCAACAACTCTGCAAACTGGGTTACGCTGAGAGAGAGAAAGAGGGATTGGCCAAAGTCGCCTAGCTGGCTTTCATAGCTAAGGCGGGACTAGAACTCACCATCTCCTGGTGATTGGCCCAAAGTCGCCCAGCCAGCTTTCAATGCCCAAGGCAGAACTAGAACTCCCCGTCTCCTGCTGCCTGGGGAATTCTGGGAGCTGAAGTCCACACAGCCTTGAGATTGAGCTCTAGAGGCAACGGGCCAAACGCCCTGCAGGGCAACGGATTGGGGAAGTGGTTGTGGACGAAGGGGATGCCCCTGGTAAAGCCCCTTCCTAGGAAGTCAAGACAGGCTTGCACTCCACCTATCAGCAGGTGCGGAAATGCGCAGTTTAAAGTTCCAGTCCTGCAGTCATGCATATCTTTATAAATAACTTAGTGTGGGTTTTTTTGTGCTCACCGCACAGGGATCCTCTGTGAGGGAGATGGGCAGATTTAAAATATGAATAGATAGATAGATAGATAGATAGATAGATAGATAGATAGATAGATAGATAGATAGATAGATAGATAGATAGATAGATAGATAGATAGATAGATAGATAGATAGATAGAATGATGGATAGAATGATGGATAGAATAGATGATATACAGACAGACACAGATGGATAGATGACATGGGTAGATGGAGCCTTTCTGGGATCTGGGTGTTTTTTCAAGCATCTTTTTTTAAAAAAAGCTTCTGCATGTTTAGGAAAGATCCCCCAAGGGTGCCCTTTACAAGAGAAAATAGACTGCACTGGGCCCCCCCTTGATCCCGGTTTCCTGGCAAGGTCCAACACCAGGTAGCAATGTTTGTTGATCGGCCGTTTCTGCCTGAAAACAAAGGTGGCCTTTTATTGGCAAAGCAACCCAGTGATGATGTGGGACAACAGGCCAGGATCTCAGGTGCAGCAGCCAAGAAACGGGACACCCTTTGCTAACTCCCCGGTGGTGGAAATGTAGCCACTCTTCGAAATTGTGCAGGCGCTGTCCAGCCTGCAAAACCGTGGCTTGTCAACCCACAACTGCCTGGGGTTGCACGTTGGCTTAGCCCCCTGCCCCCGTTTACACAACTTGCTAAGCAGAACCCAAACCGCCAGCTGTCCTGGGCTGGCGACCGCGATGCTGCGATCGAAGCTTTGTTTTGTATACACCTGCAGCCTGGCAGGTGTCGTTGCCCAGACTTTGCAGAAGACCCCTGATTGTATCCGAAGTCTTCCATCCTGAAAGGAAACACCTGTAAAGCAGAGGAAGAGGACGACCCTGCATTGGGGCGAAGAGAAATTCCACATTCACACAACACCCTAGGCTAGGCTAAGTTAAGACGGGCTATGTGGTGTTTCAGAAACCATCCCAGGAAGGTGCCCATACCTTAAATCTGGGGTTTCCTTAGAAAAAAGGGATTGCCAGCCTGAAGGATTGTAATGGGCTAAAACATACCAAGCACGCAGGAATTGGGTATGTCTAGTTTAATGAAAAGAAGGACCAGGGGTGACACAATAGCAGTGTATCTATTTGGGGGGCTGCCATAAAGAAGAGGGGGGCAACCTATTCTCCAAAGCCCCTGAAGGCAGAACAAGAAGCAACTTATGAAGGAGAGAAGCAACCTGGAACTAAGGAGGAATTTCCTGGCAATGTATAACAATTCACCCATGGAACAGCTTGCCTCCAGAAGTTGTGGGTGCTCCATCACTGGAGTTTTTCAAGAAAAGACGACAGACAGCCGTTTGTTCGGAATGGTACAAGGGTCTCCTGCCTTGAGCAGGAGGGGGCTGGACTAGAAGACCTCTGAGGTCCCTTACAGCCTTAGGATGCTATGTTCTAAGGTTTGCTATGGGGCTGCAGCTTGTGCAGGCTGCTGATGCAAGGGCACAGGACTCTGTCGTGGCCTGAAGCAAAGCAGCCCTCCCACTTCCTCAACTGGCTGATGCAAGGAGGGAAACAAATAACAGCAGCCCCAGATGGTTGCAACAGCAGAAGAGGAAGCCCGAATCTGCATCTGTGCAAGCTTGAAAAAAAAAAGGAAAGAGGCATTTGTTGGAGTCCCCTAACCATCAGCCCCAACCGGCACGCTAAGAGGCACGGCTAAGAACCAGCCTCCATTGAATAAGCTTTCATTCCCTGCGAGGGAGAATTGGCAGCCGCTCTGCGTATGGAAACTAAAACGTGCCCCTCCCTTTGCCCCTCCTAGGAGCAACCCAAAGAGACAATGGTGGCTGGGGAGACCCTTGGCGAGGGGGCGGGGGAGAACAGCTCCTGTTGGGCGAATTGCCTCTTCCCCCCCCCTCTTTTGACTGTGTTATGCAGTGAAGTTGTATAGCGACGGTCCAATCTTGGCCATTTTAAGACCTGTTCCCAGAATTCTGGGAGTTGGAAGTCCACAAGTCCTAAAGTTGCCGAGGCTGAACATCCTTGCTCTAGAGCGTTTAGGAAAACAAGCATGAAACGTGTAATAAACTTTTATTAGGATCTTTGTCATCATAAAGTATTGCAAACTGGAGTAAAGGCTGAGCTTTGCAGGGGTAGCGCTGGTTAAACAGCACCGCCTGCACAGCCTCAGGGCCGGGCTTTACAATAGATGCTCGGAGAGCTGAGGAAGATTTACTGTCCATTTATATGCAAATGGCTTGTCCTAAAGAGCCACAACCCCCATCCACTTCTAGCCCTGATGATGTTACCTAGCTGGGCCATGAAATGTCTGCAAAAAAACCACCCAGCTCAGAGAGCACCAAGGACCCCCCAGTCTTCCTCCTCTTCCTCCTCCTCCTCCTCCTCCTCCTCTCCACAACCCCCCTGCCTTCTAGCACTGATGATGTTACCTAGCTGGGTCATGAAATGTCTGTAAGGAAACAACCCAGAGAGCAACAAGGAGACCACAATTCAACCTGAGCTGCA